TATAGATCTATGAGAACATGTTGAACTGGCAAGACCGGCACTGATTTGAAAGTGGATTTCGAAATGCCATGCTGCAGAAAGGATATGGAAAAAAAATGCTACACTAGATATACAGATAGAATTGACTAGTGTCTTAATAATTCAAAGGGATATACAAATAATAAACCAGAAGAGTAACCTGGATTCTTTACTATATTGTATTTATGAAAGAGACCTGTTAAAGTTTTGAAAGATTTTATGAGAATGGATAAAGAAAAAATGAAAATAAATTAAATCATAAGACATTGTTTGAAGGGATTGATAAAAGTAACAGTGAGGAATATAAAGTTGGTTCACCTGATCAAAGTTAAAATAGATATCATATATATGATCAGGATTGAACAAGGCCTTAAATTATTTATTTGTAGAAAAGAGATGACATATGGGAAGAAGAGATTGTTTGCTGTATTTTAAGAGATAATAAATCACTAAAATTGTTTATATTTGTGATGAAGAGGAAAATCATTTTATCTATTTATTTTCTTTACTATATTTTTATTAATATTTTTCTTTCTTTTCTACTTTTTTATTCTTTTTTACTTTTTATGTTTTGTTTGTATTGGTTTGCTTTTTCAATTGTAATATTTAATCAAATTATTATTTTTCCAAAATGACTATGTGTCCTTTGGGATCCCCCTCCTACTGCACAACTTCGGATGGGACTATTTGAATGACACCTGATGGGAAGGGAGAACTTGACATCATGCTTGGGAATCTGGCATTTGATTAGCAGCTGTTCCACGAAACACTGAAAAGCTAATAGGAGGAAATTGGGGAATAGGTCCTAGAATGTGTGCAAAAGCATCTATTATACATCCCAAGAGGACAAGCATGGACATCTTTTTTTCCAAGGTCTGGGAAAAGATTCTAGAACTTCCTAGTCCTGGTCCCTAGGCAATCCTCACATCATGAACAAATGTTCAGCTTCCAGTTCATTGCCATGCCTTCATACAGTATTCCTTCATCAATTCCCTGCTGGCTAGTCAGGAGGCAGGATTAGAGTATGAGAAAAGGGAGCTTCTCATTCCGTTGCTGACATTTGATATTTGGCTCTGCCTTTGCCTATTACCCTCATGAGCTGAAGAAGCCAGCAATTTTCAGATACCAATAAAAATAGGTGCCAAAAAAGAAGCGAATGCTGATTTTTTTCCCCACCTCCATGCTCTGAGGTGGAGGGAAGGAATTGGGACAGGATGATCTGTTGTTTCCTTACCTGAATCACAGTGCCGCTGACAGTGTTCCAGTTCAGCCAGCTCACTGAGCAGGGCAATGCCAGGAATCCCTGAGCTGGACGGAGAGGGCAAAGGAAGGGAAGCTGCAGAAGATGGGGATTCCAGGTCTGGGAGTTCACCCAAGTTGATGCTGGCAGCAATAAGGGCATCCAGGCCATATGGTGCTACCTGTACATCAGTCTGTGTTGATGGATCATCGGGTAAGACAGCATTACTCTCGGCTTCCTGACAGTCAACTTCCAATGCTGCAACAGGACTCTCTTCCGTAGTTATCACTTCAGGGGAAGGTCCTGGTGTGGCAGCATCTGAGCTCGGCTCCTCCTGATGTTCTTTTTGGGTAGAATCCAAGTCATCTGAGCTATCCCTGACCAGCAGGGAGCAACTTGGGGTCTCCTTAATCATTTCAGTGGAGCTTGGTCTCTGGGGATGGACAAGGAGATGTGGAGGGTGAACGTGGGTGGGTTCCACTTCAGAGTCCCCAGTCCCACTGGGTGGGCTAGCTTCTGCCTTGCAGCGTGGCTCCTGCTCTGGTGGAAAGGTGCGTGACTGTTCAGGCTCAGCTGCTGTAGAAACAGTTTGCATAGTGTCAGGATCAGCTGGGTCCCGGGGAAATGGTGATGCATAGCCCAGACCAGCCACAGGGTAGGTATAACCAGGAGGGAGATCTACAAAGAGAAGAAGAGTCCCAGAGTAAAGCATGGCAGAGGTAATAAAAGTACTACCTCTCCAAATCCATAGCAAATATGAATAGTCTCAAATACAGGGGCCACAATGAGCAATACCACTTGACAATATTCATTTTTCTTCACAGACTGAATGAAAACATTCTATTTGTGCTAAATCACTCAAATTCACATGATATATTCTACAGAATTGTTTTTTTTTAAAAGTGAAATGAAATGCTAAGACTGAGGGAGACTCCATTTGAGGAAGGAAAATCCAACACCAGGAACAAAAAGATGCTGAGATACTGATTGTAGACAATGGAAATACTACACAAGTCCCTCTGATTTCTGAGCTTACAATACATACAACATAGGCAGCTAGTGTATCCATACTCCATCTCAGTCATCCCCACTTGCTGCTGCTCATGATCAGCTAAGGGGGAATTTAAACACACGGCTGCTTCCTTATACCCCACAGTAGCAGGAAAGCTACATGGAAGAGCAATCTTCCATGTATAAAAATCCTTGTTCCTTTGCTAGTAATTGTTAGTAGGTGAGGTGTACTTTGATTCCAACTACTTTTGAAAGGTTCCATCTCCAGGTTCGAAGACTTTTAACATTGTTGTCCAACCCCAAAAAGCTTCCTGTTTTTGCTATGTTTGTCAAGCATCTCTATAACCACAAGAGTTTGTATTTGTCCTATTTTAACCACCTGAAACAAGACAGTGCTATAAAAAATTATTGATCAGTGAGCAATCCCTTGTACTTTCCAGAATCCTTCCTAGCAAGTGTGCTTTCTTCAGTGTGCTCTTAACTGAATTTAATCTTTTGGATTAAAAGAACATACCAAGTGTTTGCTAGACCCTTTTTATTATCATTATATACAGAGCAACATGAAATCACACAGCTGCCAGTTCTTTAGATGGTGTTGGTCTTCATATGCATCAACGTCTCCCTAGGAACCTAGGATGTCATAATGTATTGGCATAGTATGTGTGCAGATCCAAGCAGTGTGGCCTTGTACTTGTTGTTGGTTGCACAGTCATCCAAAGGTTTAGACTGGATTGAGCATTTGTGTTCACCTGTCAATTGTACCCAGAACAGGTGGATGTTGTCATTTAATAATATCCAAGGTATTGCTTCAGGATGTAAGCTGTTCCAAGAAGAGCTGCCTTTTGCAACTGACTGCTGACGAGTTTGTCAATGCCAATGATGTGCCAGTGGTGCTCCAAAAGTTGTTGTTGTTGTTATTATTATTATTATATACTTTATTCATTAAACACGAAACTCAGTCAACTGAATATTCAAAAATGCATCGCAAATACCATTGGCTGGTGCTACTGGTTGATACAGGTTGCTGCCAGCATCCTAGGTATCAACCAAGTATCTTCTTAAGATGTGCGATGTTCCAGGTAGCACAGTTTTTTGCAGTTCTGCTGGTGTTATTGCAGGAAGCTGCAAATTCTTTATCTGTTTTGTAAAATTCTTGGACATGGTACCATGTGCCCCAATGACAATGGGTGTCACTGTTACATGCTTCATCCATTATTATCATTAATTTATTGGCCACCCAAATCCGATGGATTTTGAGAGACATACCAATGTAGAAAAAAAAACATACAAAGAGCTAAACCACTCAGAAGACAACAGCCCAGGCTAAAATAACCCAACAAACAGCAAAACCAACAAAAGAGAGGCCATTTCTCATTTCAGTTCTCAGAATCTTTACCTGGTTCCAGTGATTTAGGATAGTCCTGGGCTGGCTGCCCTTCAGGCTGCTTATCCACAGCTTCAGGACCCGTAGAATTCTGGGAGGGCACTGGACTTACAGCAGGGGAGCGTGGCACCACAGCAGGGCAGACAGGTAAAGTGCAGGGACCAGGGCATTTGGGTGGATGGCAGCATGACGAGAGCTTGACTGAGCAGGCAGCTGCCGGGGACAGGCCCTTCGGGGGAGCGTTTAAGGCAACTGCTTTGTGAGATGGTTTGAGTGGCTTTTCAGGACCCGGCAACTCCAGCTCTGGTGGGGGCTCTTCGGGCTTCCGCTATTAAGTAGGTGAGGGAAGAGAGAGATGGATAGTCAATAAGTACATCAATTCTACATAAATAATGACACAGGCAGCAATAAGCTCAATAGTCGGTACTATTAGTGTGCATGTCTTAGACTTCCGTGTGGTTCCAACAACGTATAAATTAAAGATTAACTCATGGAGCATGTTGCTGTGTACCCTTACACAACACCACAGCTGGTAGCACAGCCAATGTGCAATCCTATGCTTAGGCTGACTCGGTGGTCTTTTGGAGATTGTATCCCTCCAGAGCAAAAACAAGAAGAATAATTTCAACAAGCTCAACAGGGAATCAGATACATTCTTGGGGATGGCTGGCTTATGTTTTCTACTCTTCTGTCTTGGACTGTGCATGCAGGAACTGAGACTGGGCTTAGGTAGAAAGTAGGTAGAATTCTGCCTTAAAAACATTCAGGTTGTGCAACCAAAAATTATGCAAAATTCAATTAAGTAGGGAACTTCCTCCTCCAAAATGTTTAAATTGCTGCTACTCAAACAACCTACATGGAGAGAAGGAGCCCTGTTCTCTGAACCTGGCAATTTTAATTAACCAGCTCTCTAATTAACATACCCCTGTAATTTTTCTAGGATATCTTTTTGGAAACTGAATGAAACAAACATAAAATTGGATCCAAAGGTCAACACAACATGGCAAAAATAATTTGCACACAAGGCCATGAAAGAGAGACTTTGGAATCAGGGAGCAAGTTGTTCTTCCCCGTGTGATGTTGGATTCCATCATTAATCGCAATCTCACAACTAGAAGCAACAGGAAGATTAGTATAGATCTCTAGCCGCTTTCACTTCCCATGAGATGAACTCAGGATATTACTTTCTCATTCGGGATCTGCCCAAGCACTGTTGTTTGGAGTTTAGATGGGTTTTTCCATCAATTGGTTAGAACATAATTTCTCTGTGTATTCATCTTCTCTTGCACACGGGTGCTTTGTAAGTGGCTAAATTACTTTAAACAATCACCTTCCTGCAATAAATTTATGTGTGTCTGCGTCATCCAGTGATCAGGACAGCCTGGAACGATCTATATTAAAGAAGCTTTATGGTATCTGGATTATTTTACAAAGAATAAGATTTGATCACAATTTGCCTATTTATTATTAATAGCTCCAGGCAGCAAAACAACAAAAATCAGCAATACGAATATCAATACAATCCAAAATGTATTACAGCTGGGGCAGCACAACTGTATCAACATCCACAATGTCTTTAAATGGGCTCTCAACTCCTTAGCTCCCAATGTCCTGGGAAAAATACAGGTTTTGGACATCTTAAGGTAGGATTGTCAGTCTTAATTCCTACACCCGGATTATATATCTGTGCCATGGTGGCACAGTGGTTAAAGTGCAGTACTGCAGGCTACTTCTG